CGTGGGGTTGTTAACCAATGTCATAGAACAATATGTGTACTGACTGTTTAATGAGAAACTATTTCTTCTGTAAACCTTCACCTAAAGTACAATAAAAAAAAAAAAAAAAGATTCAGATTGTGACTCTCCAGTTCTGGGAAGAATTCAGGTCTAAGGATTTAGGAGTCAGACACAAGCAGCCACAGCTGAATTCAGGAGAGCAAAGAGTCATCTCTCCTTACCTGTTTAAGAACAGGATGGCAGGTAAGGAGAGAATGGTAGGCCAAGCACACAACCCTGCAGAACACTACATGAAGGGGCAAGATGGAAAATAAGGAAGTAGTCAAGAGATGTAGAGATGTAGCAAAAATACAGAAGAGACCTTGACAAAAATGTAATATTAGTTTTGGTAGGAAAATCTGGCAACTTTCTGGGCTATATAAAAATATCAGCCAAATTATCAGTGTTAGAAAGCCAAACATCAGAGTATAGCATTTATTTTAACAAAATACTTGCTTAGACTGTTAACCACTCTCTCCTCTTCTGGCTTCCAGAACTCCATTCTCCTGGTTCTTCCATCACTCTGATCCTTCCTTCTTAGTTTTGTTCACAAGCTCCTCATGCTCTCCCTCCTTCCTAGATGCTGATTTTTCCAAGAATTCCATGCACTCTCCCAGGTGACGTCAGCTACTTCCCAACCTCAGTGACTCCCTAATCTGTATCTGGAGCTATTCAACCTCTTCTTTCCTCACAGTCAATGCTCTGGTTCAAGTCTCCATTATCTCTGGCCTCTACTCTAACAAGAGCCTCCTAACTGATCTTTCTGCTTCACTAAGGCTTTCAATACTGCCACCAGATTTTCCCTTTGGAAACAAAAATATAATCATATCACTTCTGTCAATAACCTGCAATGACAGTCCACTGCATAAAGGATAAAGTCCAAGCTCCATAACATGTCATATCAGTCCCTTTATAATCTTGCCACAATATACATGAGACAGGATAATAATTTTGAAATGTCAGCCACTGATTTCCAGTTACTTTCTTTACCCTCATGCCTTCCCCCTCATTTAAGTAGCTAGGGCATTGTACATTCATTGTCTCAAGAGAAGGCCGCTATAGCATAAAAGCAAATAGCGTATACGTTTCTTCTTGGCTTTTGTGTCCCCAAAGCACATGCCCTTGGGGATATAGAAGAAATGAGCATGACAAAATATTCTGTTTAAATTTCATAAGATTAAGCTCCACCCTTCTAGACTGAAAAAAATTTCTAAATACTGAGAAGATGCAATAAAGAACTGACGTCAGTATAGACATTGGAGCATCCAGGAAAGATAAACCTGTCTCCTGCCACCCAAACAGAACCCTAAGGCGACACTTCAGAAAAGGAATGAGTATGTAGTAAGTTGAAGCACACAGCCTCAGGACAGCTTCCCAGAGATACCTTGGGCATAGATAGCTGTTAAAGGAACAGAATGATCCCAAAGCTCCAAAGAGAGGACCACAGAGAGGGGATCAGAAAGCTTGATGAAATGCCTGCACAGAAGATGACGCTGCACAATGCTTGGCCTTCACACTCTTCTGGTACTCTGTAGCCCTCCCAGACATAAACCAGGGAAGGTGAGGGCTACCCTAAAATAACTGAGATTGGATTTCCACCATATTAGCTAAAGAAGCACTCAAAATTGAAATTATTTGTTATACAAAATAAAAATTTGTTTTTTTAACACTTGATATTTCCATTCACCATATACCTTTCTAGCCTCAACTCATGCTACTCCCTTACCCCCATCTTCACCAGCTCACTCCATTTCCTGTAGCCCTGGTTCTAAGCGCTCTAAGGAGGTTGCTGTTCTCTAACTATTCTCTTTGTTCTATCATGTCTTTATTTATTCTGCTCTATCTGGAATGCCCTTTACCACAATCTTCCTCCTGGGATATACTCCTGTTCCATGACTGAGCTCAAATTTGACCTC